ATCTTTCCATGTTTGATCCCAAGATTCCAAGAAAAATACATCTAAACGGGGAGAAAGCTATGCTGAAAGTTTATTAAGATACTTAGAAGACAAAGACAACAATTTACGTTACATTTGTCAGATTGTGAATCAATAAAGACATTTAATTAAACACGAGTTTGCGATTTCAATCAAAATGGGGGTAACGGGGACTTGCAGTGCATCGGCATAGATGGGAAAGGCAGAGCCGACCGCTACACTGCCCTCGTGTTTCGAAATCTTGTGACTTTTGAAATTTACTGGGGGTTGAAAATACCTGTGAAACCGGTTTGTTTACCAACAATGCAGACAAAGAGACTCAGTATCAGTTTTGTTCTGTCAGTTCTTCCTCCCAGAACTTGTAAATTGTTGTTGTTATTGTTGTTGTTATCCTGTAAAGCACTTTGAGAAGCATACTGTCCAGCATATTGTATTTCATTGCACTTTGACAGTGAATTGCATTCAAAACCAAACATTTTCATCAATCAGTATTCCAGATGTATATGTCAAAAAAGCTCTTGAACAACAAAACTACAGCATGAGATGACTTGCAAAGAAATCCATTATTTGTGTTTTGAAGTTTAGTGAATCAAAAAAAGAAAAGAAAGGTGAAAGAGTTGTGAAAAATATTACTGTACATCTCTAGACAATTCTAGAACATTACAAGTCTAAAAGATAATTTACTAGAGAATATACACAGGAACATATCTGATGGGGTAATTTTTTCAAGAAAGCTAATTTAACATTTTCAGATGAAACAGGAAACAATATATTGAAAAAGAGAAGATGAGAAATATAACAACGGGTTACTGTAGATAGCTAAATAATTGCACTCACCCAGTTATCGACAGACTGTTATTCATACTGTAAGGCGGTATACATACAGTATACAATTAACATTGTGTAAGACCTTTTTTATTTTGTTAGCCATTACAAGTTCTTAGTACTGCCTGTATATTGTTATGGTTGATATTGTAATATTGTTACAAAACAATTCCAAAATGTCAAAAACATTCTAAATTCCTCCCCTGATTCTAGGCCTTTTCGTCTTTTTCTTGGATGTTTCCATCAAGAAACATCTCAATGGATACTGTATGTCAAACATTTACCTAGCTTTTAATTTTTACTCTTTTGATTTACTTAAACAGATTCGCTTTGTGTAAAACGCGAACAAATAAACATATAACCAAACAGACACACACAATGGGCATGCACATGCAATTTAGTGAAAGCTAGAGGTGTGAGTTTTTTTTTTTCGTTCTGCACCTTAAAAGCTCTATAAATGATATTTCAGCCACAATGCTTCAGTATTGCTTAGAAACTTGCAACACTTTAGTGTTTATACTGTTCATAATACAAATAAATTATTGACTACCCCTCAGAACATATGATTTTGTTAAATGTTTTAAACTTTTTTTCTACCCTGTAAATCATATTTTTGTTTTGCTTTAAAGAAATGTTCAGGTTTAACCTACCTTGTTGCCACCTTTACTCTAAAGTACAGTAAGTAATAGAATAACTATATTAACAGCAACTTGGAGAACTTTCACACAAAGTTTATATTAGATTTATATAATCATACTGGATGCTTCATTTTTGCATATGTTATTTAACAGTTACTTGGATTTATTAATAAATAGTTAATTTATTAATATTAACTATTTATATTCTTATCTATGGAAACAGGTTACACCCACAGTGTTCTGAGTGGGTTTTGATAGGTGTTTGCTTATCTTAAAGCTCTATTGCTTGATGTCTCCCAAAAGCCATCTCTTTGCTCATGTCTGTTAATCTTTTTATACAGTGAATAAGACGAAACTGATAGTATTGCAACTGCTTTATCTTTAATTGTAATTCACCAAATGCTACATTTGGGTAGACACAGAAATATACCTTCTTAAACAACTTCCTTTTTACATTAACTTTAACATGATACCTGTATATCTAAAATAAAATTATACTAATATCCTGCTTAATGATCAAAGTTTTTGTTGCTGGAACAATGAATCATCAATGGCACCTGATTTTAGTAAATTGTTTGTAGCCTATATTTCTTCATGACAGCTGTGTATAGTATCTACACATCCTGTAGTAATGTATGATAAACACAGGTAGCAGCAGTTTCATTGATGTGTAAATGTATAAATGTTGGGGTCTGTAACTCACATTGAAACAGTCCCTTTGAGTAGCAAAGAGGCACAGTCTTTGCATTTGCTTTTTAAGGTTATTACGGCTAATTTCAAACGTCTGCGGTGTTTCACTAAATGTTCTGAAAACTCAGGTGTTCTAAAATGTTTTATTTCTTTTCTTTGCAAGCAATATTACATATTTTCTTTGGGCTGTCCTTACCACATTTTCCATGATGATGTTATCTCACAACATCAATTAAAGGTTAACTACCGAACTGGATAGATGGACAGAATGACCTTATCTTGTTTGTAACTGTTCTTGTGTTTTTATGTCTCAGAAATCTAGAAACTTTATTCTTTCTTTATATTTCTCCCAGAAATCATTTGCATTGCACCTTCTTCGGGATCTGCAGTATTTTATCGGGTAAATGAAACATGGTTGGAAACCAGGATTGGATTTAAAAAGTTTATTGAGAGACTTTGTTTTATTTTGTTTAGAATTTTTTTATCTGCTTTATTTGTCTGCTCTCCGTGTTCATTAATAATCCCAGGGTATCACCTCAGTGTCCTGGCCAAATTTCCCTATGGCCTTTGCCAATCATGGTCTCCTTATAATCTATGGCTGCCACCTCATCATCCAGGCGGGGCTGCACAGTGGTGGTGGTGGAGGGGAGACCCCATTTTCTGTAAAGCGCTGTGAGTGGAGTGTCCAGAAAAGTGCTATATAAGTGTAAGCAATTATTATTAATTATTATTCTCATGAGGGCTCATGGTTTTCCAGGGTCTGCTGCTCTGACCTGATCATCTTTTTATGATCTACATTAATTTGAAATGTTCTACATAAAAAGGTAGAAACGTTTCCAAAATAACCACATGTAAGACTTTGATGCTTAAAGTGTTTAGGGAGAAAGTGGAATACTGGTGTGTATTTTTTCTTTAAACTACCAAGACCAGCCATATGCAGTTTACATGATATGTTTATATTCCTAAATTAATATCATTTATGAGCATGTGAAAGGCATGGTGAATCCGGAGATTCTCAAAACTTACTTTGTATGATTGGAAACGAATATGTGATCGGATCAACTAAATGCTGTGGTGTTACTTTTTGTCCATGAAAAAATTGTACTTTCGTTTACAAAGACGGTTACAAAGTAAGTGGACCAGGGTAATACTTTGAGCTTACAGCTTGTCCAAGGTAATTCATTATTAATACTATTAGTAATATCTTCGTTAAATACTTTGATGCATAAAATATTTCTTCATAAGGCAACATACAGTATAAATATGGGAGGTACTGTCTCACTCCTGGTCTGGTGTTTTCTGAATGCCCACAGCTGCTTCTTGTGTTATAGTTCCTTCAGATGTGGTCATCTAGTAATGGCCCCTCTCTAAAGAGAAGCTCCACCCCCTGGTAGTCGTATTCTGGATGGTATTGCAGTATAAATACAGTACACATTTATAGAAATTAAGACTGATTGCAGGATTTTGCCAGTTAATTGTTAGATTATCTTTGGTCACCATTTAAAAACTTTTTAAGAACATTTGATTTCATTCCTCATTTAATTTTCATTTTATTGAGAACAATGTATTTTTTTTATTTTTATAATTTATTTTGTGATA